GGGTCCTCCTTGTTCCACAGCTTTTCTGCAGCTCTGGGCTTTGGTCTGGTTATCCTTTGCTTTACATCTAATATCCACTTAGGAGTGAGTGTTACGGTGTCTGTCTTTCTGAGTCTGTGTTACCTCATTCAGGATGGATTTTTCTAGTTCCATCTCTTTACCTGAAAATTTCATTAGGTCATCAATTTTTTATCTGAGTAGCATTCTGTTGTGTAGATATACCACATTTTCCTTATCCGTTCTTCAGTTGAGGATCACCTAGGTCGTTTCTAGGTTCTGGCTATTACAGACAATGTTACTATGAACATTGAGAAGGAGATGGCCTAGGCCGGAAGGGATACAGTGGAAGAGTAATGAAAGAGATGTCTCAATAGAGAGAGCTGCTATGGGCTTAGGGAGAAACCTGGTGCTAGGGAAACTCCCGAGGAGGACCCTAGCTAAGACTGATAGCAATAGTAGAGAGGATGCCTGAACTGGCCTAACCCTGCAATCAGATTGATGAATACCCCAACTATCATCATAGAGCCCTCATCAGTAACTGATGGAAACCGACACAGAGAACCACACCCAAGAACCAGTGTGAGCACTGGGAATCCAGTCCAAGGGAGGGATGAGGGAATACAGGAGCAAGAGAGGTCAAGACCATGATGTTGAAATCCACAGAGACAGCTGACCCAAGCCTGTGGAAACTCATGAACTCTAGACCTACAATTGTGGAGACTCCGGGCCCTCTGTATGTGGGAGACAGTTGTGAAGCTTGGACTGTCAGAGGGTCCCTAGCAGTAGGACCACAAAAAATCCTGGTACGTGAGCTATTTTGTTGGAGCTCATTCTCTATGGTGGAAGGCCATGGTCAGTTTTAATGCATGGGAGAAGGGCCTGGCCCTGCCCCAACCTATTGTGCCAGACTTGCTGACTCCTCATGGGAGCCCTTACCTGTGAGGAGGAGTGGACTGGATGAGGTATAGGGGAGAAGTGTGGGGTGTTGGCAGAGGGGTGATAGGGAGGACTGTGGTTGGAATGAAAAATGAAATTTAAAAAAACTGAAAAAAATAGAAAAAATTTCTTAATGCCAATTTCAGGGTCCATCTTAAGGAGGGTTAAAATACAACAAACCCGCATCAGGGCAAAAGGGGAGGGATGTGCCAGGTTTCATGGCACACACCTTTAATCCCAGCACGTGAGAGGAAGAGGCAGGGGATCTCTGCAACCTTGAGGCCAGTCTGGAATACACAGTGAGTTCCAGTGACTTAGTGAGAGCTTGACAGCAGCTTCCTTCCTCCGTGGAGCCTTCTGGGATTTCTCTGCATTACAGGCTGACCCCTGTCACCTCAGAAGACCACGTAGTGTCTGTATGTCCCATGTATTCTACTCCCACCCAGTAGGATGGGAGCTGCCATTAGGCAGTGCTGTCTTTATCCATGAATTCCATTGAGCTCACCCCTAGCTTATCCTATACCAGCTGAAGAAGGGAATGAGAAGCCAGAAAGCTACAGGGAGGACTGCAAGAGGCAGGCAGGTCAGAAGCCAGCAGTAAGGCAAACCCTAGCTCCTATGCAGAGCTGCTGGAGCAGACACAGGCTGAGCCTCTCTGAGCTCGTCACCTCTTTTGGTCCATCTGGGAACTAAGTTTCTTGGCAGTGACCCCTGAGGAGCTACCAGATAAAAACCAGTGCCTTATTTTCCAAAGAAAATGAAGTAAGAGCTGGAGAGATGGCTCGGTGCTTAAGAGCAATGGCTGTTCTTCCAGAGGAGCCCCATCTGCTTCCCAGCACCCATATGGTGGCTCGCAAGGGACTCTAACCCTAGTCCCAGGTGATATGACTGTCTCTTCTGGCCTCCACAGGCTCCAGGCACACATGTGGTACACAGATACACAGGGTACAACATGAATACACATAAGAATTAAAAAAGAATAGTAAAGGAAAGGAAAACCAGCCAGGCACTCTAAAGTGGTGTGTGATGTCAGCTGACTGCAGAACTTTTCAAAAAACAAAACTCTGGATGTGGAGAGACAAAAGGGGAGGGACCCAGGGAGAAGCCCAGATCAAGACTTCAGTAGGCCAGGAGTGGAAACGGCTGGGGTCGTCACGTCACTCTAAGGCAGCCACGTGCAGGGCAGACGCCAGGTTCCCAGCCTGGCCCCCTTCCTCAGTTCAGCACTGTGGTGACTTATTTTAACAAGGAAGAAAATAAATACATGTACCGGCCTAAGTAACTTTTCAAAAACATCTTTCCCCGTTTATGAACTATGTGTGTGAGCTGGGTTTATTTGGATTTTTTTTTAAACAACATGAACTGGAGTCATCAGCTACTAATACCGAAGAAGACACTTTGAAGGAAAAGACTGTGTTGCAAGGGTGAAAACCTAGAAAGAAAAACGCAGGTGTCTACAGCGCCTTCTTCACATGTGTCCTCTTAGAAGGCTTATGATTGAAATGAACTTTCTTCACAACTCACCTAGTAATTGCGATAGACACTCTAATGGCAGTTCGAAACCTGGTGAGTCCTTCTGTGCGGCCGGGGACCATCTCAGCGTCTCTAAACCCTGAGTATCCTTCCATGCGGGCAAGCAGCCCCAGGGTGGCATCTTCGCACTCCTGGAATCTCCCCAGGAGCAGCAACAAGTATTTCTTCTGAAATACAAGAGCTTTTCGGAAACTTTCAGCTCTCAAGTATTTACCATAAATTTTCTATATTTAAAGAAGGGAAGACAAAGATATCAGAGAAGTCACTTGAGGTGTTTTCTAGAGGAAGACTAAGTAGATGAAAAAAGAAAGCAAGCGTTAGGCCCTAGACTCTCAACTACTGTGTCAGTCAAGCTGACAGGAGACAGCCTTTGGCGTACAACTTCTAAAACCAGTTATGCTTTGTGCTTATTTGCGCCCAGCCCTTTTAAATTTACTGCAAACATTTTGGCCGTTATTGTGTAGGTTTTTAAAATACTGACATTTTTTTAAAATTACGGTCCCTCATTCATTTAGGTTCACAAACAAGTTAGTGTTTTCCGTCTCTGTATGTGCACTTCAGCTACTTTTCTTCCTTTCTACTTTGGACTTGGGTTAACTGAGCAAGGCAGCTTTACTTTGCCTTCATCTCACGAGGCATGATGCTCTTCCATGGACAGTCACAGAGCTGTGCTTAGGAACTGAAAGAGAACACTTCTGTTCATCTAGTAGGACACCAGACTCTGGGGAATAGGGTCACACTGCTGACAGCAAGAAAAGCAGAGCTGAATGTGTTGCAAGTCTGGGTGTGCCTCTCTACAGATCTGTGATTGGGTAGACATTGTACCATAGCAGATTGAAAAGAGCTGCCTAAGGACAGGCTCTGAGAGGCAACTATGCTTGTGTGGTCTGTTCAGTCAGGGCCAGCAGGAGGGAGGTGTGTACCTTGAAGGCAGCGTTCTCGGAGTCAGGGCTCTGATTCTGATGTAAGGCATCATTTCTCAGTTCTGCTTTCAGTTCGCACACTTTCGCTTCAGCCCTTTTCAGGGATTTCTGAAGAGCCAACTTCTCTTTGTTCCAGACTTCCTTTTCTGAAGCAATGATGTCCTCGATGTTAGCACCGCGATCAAGTGAAAATCTAGAGGACTGCACAGACATAGCCTGTCAAACGTTTTCAAGATGACTGAACGACATCACAGTGGATTACCTAGCTCTGGCCTTCTAACACGACAGGAAGCTCACAGTCTGTTGAATCTCTCTATCACTGTAGTAACAGAAGCCAGCATGGATATGTGTGAGTGAGTCTCAGGGTGGCCGCAGGAACAAGTTACTTACATGGCTATGTGGTTGTTTTGATAGCCTTATCTACCTTTAAATATGAGGGTAAATACAGATACTAGCCCTTTTTCTTTGCAACTTTAAAAACAAGTTTGAATTCAGAGAGTAAGTTACTATCCTGAAATGTATAATTTAAGTTTTTTTTTTTTTAAAGAAAGGGTCTCACTAGTGAGCCAGAGATTTGGTATGTAGACTGGAGTAGCTGTGAATTCACGGAGATCTATCTGTCTTTGCCTCCTGAGTGCTAGGATTAAAGGCATGTGATGCCCTGCCCAGATTAACATCATTTTTGACTTGGTTATAAACCTAGTAACTAGTAACTGAAGAGACAACAATCAGTATTTACATTTGGACATGTCTTTCACTGTGTCTGCTTTCAGGCAACACAGACATATTTAGATCTTAGACTGAATATGACTTGGTTTCCTTGTGGACAAGACTGGATGCATCTGAGCAATTCTGCTTGTATATAACCCAGAGGGTGGTAAAGAAGCGTCCCTCAATAACTGGTAATTTTATTATTGTCTTCATGTATAATACTTTCCACATATCCTACTAAGAGAAGTACATGACATTATTTACACTATGGTTAAAAGTAGAACTAAAGAGAAGAACTTTGAATTACTTCTAAAAACAAACTTACACAGCTTCTACCAGTTCTTGTCTGCTGATAAAACTTTATCTGTTCTTCCAGTTGCATGATAATGTTCCGTAAGTGATTCTTTTCCTCAGTTAGTTGGTTAATATGTCCGGTTAGTTCAGAATTCTGTTTCAAAGTCATTTCTATTAGAGAGCCACAAGAGGAACTTGAGGATACTAAGCTGTGCTGGGAAGAAAAAAAAAAGACACAAAGTTATGCAGATGCGCATGTACAGGAGAACCTTACATTAAAGTAAACAAGTGCTGACACAAACAGACTCCATGAACTGACACTTGCCAATAGTAGAAACTTGCCAGGCAGGCAAACAGCCTGGGAGAGCAGAGGAAGCAGGAGGGGCACAGGCAGCAGGTGCCACGCAGGCCAACAGCTGGGCAGGAACAGGAAGCAGGAACACAGAGATGGGCAAAAGTCGTGGAAGACGCTGCTCTCAAAGAGCTAGAGGTGCTTAGACATACTAAATGTTGCTGCGTTTATGACGACAGACCTAAACAGGGCAACCGGGAGCCAAGGAAGACTTTAGGAGGGGCTACCACAGACAAACTGTACATGTTTGCAAGAGGCCTTTGGCAGCAGTGTGCAAGGCAGAACAGCTTGGGGAAGGTGCACGTCCATGTTCCCTGGCTGTATGGATAGGAAGTTCTAACAGTTTACATAAGAAATTCCGAGGCAGTGACTAGGGATGCGGAGTAAAGGGCACATGAGTGGACATTTACATGGCTTATCACTGCTTACATGTACAGGTAAGAGAGAAGGAGCATGGTCTGTGGTGACTTCCAGCCTTCCAAACTGGGTGAGACCGTAACCAGCAAAGGGGTATGAAGAACAGATGTACAGCAGAAGACAATGTTTACGTTTGATCGTGTCTGTGAGGCTCCTAATTGGTCAACACTAGGAACATTTACCCAAAGATGTCTAGTAGCTAACTGAAATATAAGCCTGGGTCACAGTAAAAGGCCTACACCAGATCAATCCAGTAGACATTAACTGCACAAGGGCAAAATTCTTGTCACGTTGTCTAATGAATCCCTAGGCCTCAAGCTGCACTTGGAACACAGCAGGTGCTCAGCAAGGCCAACAAGAGCTCATGTATGGTGCTGAGAGGTTTACAGTCCTGGGAGGAACATGATGTATGCAGAAACAAGCGAGGCAGACAGACCTAACTGAGGCAGGCGAAGGGAGAGCACTGACACACAACACAAGGAAAATGGGGTTTCACAAAGTGAGTACAGCAGGTCTTGGTGGAGCACGCCTTTACTCCTTCATTCTGGAGGAAGAGGTGTGCAGATCTCTGAGATCGTGCCCAGCCTGGTCTACATGACAGTCAGGGTTACACAGAGAATCCTATCTAGGAAAACAATAACGCAACCAACAAAAGGAAAAACAGAAATACTTCCTAAAGACATCGAAAGTGTCAAATGAACAATGTCAGAGAGTGGGAGTGAAGAGGCTCCGCAGAACAGTTACCCGTGAGGATGCAGACAGGACTGATTCTGAGCTCTTGAGGGGAGGACAGGGAAGCCAAACCATTTTCTCAAGAAGCTGGGTCTCTTTATAAGAGGTTAATTATACACCAACAGCATGAATGGTAATTTCCCCCCCAACTTGCATTTCTTCTTGTTGGGGGAAGAGAAACACTGTGCAAACAAATATGATCAAAACTCTTACAAAATAGTCTACCAATTTTTAAACAGTTCATGATTTCATTTTTTCTCTCTACAAAGAACTTGAAAAAGTCTTACCTCATCTTCTTGTCGGTCCCTTAGTCTCTGTACTCGAAAAATAATTCGATCAATTCTTTCTTGAACCCAAATTAAAGCATCTTTATCTGATACTTCAACCTCTAGTCTTTAAGAAAAAGACAAAAATTAAAACAGACCTCCCAATAACACTTCCGAACACACTAGAGCCTAGCGGTGCTCCGTTTGTGTCATTAATACACACTAGTGTCCAGGGCCGCTCTGTTTGTGTCACTAACACACATTAGAGGCTAAGGGCTGCTCTGTTTCACCAACACACATTAGAGGCTAAGGGCTGCTCTGTTTGTGTCACTAACACACATTAGTGTCTAGGGCTGCTCTGTTTGTGTCACTAACACACATTAGAGGCTAAGGGCTGCTCTGTGTCACTAACACACATTAGAGGCTAAGGGCCACTCTGTTTCAATTCTCACTTTACTCTTAAATATTCCCCCTTTCTGGTTCAAGGTGTTAGCTGTTTTCAGATGTATAAGTTCTGCTAACGTGGACATGCATTTTCGTTACAATACTTCTCCTTTGGTATGGGTGTGGTGTTATATGCATTTACTCCCAGAAAGCAGAGGCAGGAAGATTCCCTGTATGTTTGAGGACAGCCTGGTGAATTCTAGGTCAGCCAGATCTACATAGTAAGATGCTGTCTGAACAAAAGAGATCAAAACCAAAATCCAGCATTTTCTTACTCTTGCCTGACCTATCAAGAGTATCATTTCTATAGAGCAGGCAGAAGTCTAACCTGTCACAGGCTTTCTGGGCTATATGTTGTTGAAGTTTCGTAGCCACATGCTGAAGTTTCTGTCTGATAATTTCCACGTCATTATTAGAGTCATCCTTTTCTCTATTCATTTCCAACAATTTTGCATAGCTTGTGTCTTTGCTCTCTCCTTCCATTTTCTGTTGAAGAACCCAATTTCTAGTTCGGTCATCAGTAAAACTCCAAGTAGATCCCTGGCAATTTTGGACAGAAAAAGAAAATACTCACAAATGAGCATCATTTCATTTTCTTTATTGAGGGAACAAAATTACTATCCAAATTCCAAATAAAGTTCAACAGACACTATTTTTGAGATGTCATGAATAAAGCTATTTAAATAATTTAGTAATATATTTAAGTTTTTAAAATATTATAAAATACGGAGGTTATCTTAAAATACTAAAATTACTCATAACTTCAAAAAAATGTTATCATTTTGTGTGTGCAGATAGACCACAGGGTGCATTTGGAGGCCTGTGGGCATTGATATGAAACTGAGCCCAGGTCTGCAGATATGGCACGCTGAGCTGTCTCTCCTGTCCTTGTACACATTTGAAAGAAACAAACATTCACCTCACTAATGTTCTGACACAGGAGTTGTCCACTTTGGCGTTTTCCGGTGCGCTCCCACTCCTGCTCCCGCTGTTGGAACCCCTGCATCAGCCTGTGAAACCTCTCCCCTTCCAGGTCGAGCTTGTGCACTTGCTGCCTGCTCTCCTGCAGCTGGCGCTGCAGCTCCTCCACTTTGCGCTGCAGCTCCTCCATTTTCTGCTGGCCCAGGCTGTTCGCTTCTTTTTCCACCTGCAGTGTCTTTTGGTGGACCTGCCTGTCCTTCTCCATCTGGTGTTTCACTTGCAAGGAATCCAGTTTGTACTTTTGAGTTTCATTCACGAGTTCGATTATGCGTTTCTGCTTTTCTTCTAACTGATCTTGCAGCTCTTGAAATAGCTCCCCAGGAGGGAAGCCTGGCCGGGGCTGCACCCCATTGCTGTGCAGCTCCCGCTCCTTGTCTAGGGTGTCCTTCATCTCCTGGATCCTAACTTTCTCAGACTCCAGAAGAACCTGAAGCTCTAAGTTCCGGCCTTGTTCTTCTGACAACTGCGTATCATATAGCATTCTCTGTGATTCTATTTGTTGTTGCAAATCATTTAGTAATTGCCTCTGTTGTTCCAAAAGTTCATCTAAGTGTATGTTCTTCTGTTTCTGCTCTTCTAGAGTGGATCTTAGAGCCTTGGAGGGAAAATGTAATTTAGATGAACACGTTAATCTTAAAAATACTGTTAAAGTATATGACAATGGATTTGGTTACAGCAACAGGGAAGTATTTGGTAACTGACGGCAAACTTGTTATCCAGCAGACAGTGGAAACTGCTCAGACAGCCAAATGGCTTGCTTGCATCAAGGATATAAACACAACCTTCTTCAGCTAAATATAAAGCAGAGTACATTTTTCCAAATGACAATCTTTAAAATACGTATTTTCTTATGCTAACCTTTCAACACATTAATGGAATGTAGTTTCACATTTTAGATACTTATGTATGAAGGCACAATTAAATACCTTAAGTTCTTTATCCTGTTCTTCGTCATGGCCTGACTTGGCTTTCTCTGCTGCCAAGGCACATTGAAGTTCTTGGGATTTCTTCCGTTCTCTTGCTAATGTATCGCTAAGCAAATGAACTTCATTTGCCTTTAGTCTAAGTAAGGAAACACATGAACTTAACATTATTTTGATGAACAGTACCATCATAAAAAGGAACTTGCACTCCAATACTGAGGCATATTATAATCACTACAGTGTGTCAAGTCAAGGCTTCATGGCTGGTTCACTTCAAATGAACTGGAATTTCTAATAGTGCGGTTTACTTACTATTGTAAATAATAACTCAATGCATTGAAAAAAAGAAAATAATAACTAAAACCTTTTGTCTTTGACTGCACACAGAAATCATGTGAATTTGTGTGTGTGAATCAACGTCAAAAGTCAAAACGTGTGTACTCGCAGCATGCCTCTGGGAAGCAGCATATCTCAGTATTTATATCAGTAATACATCCTTTCCCCATGCGTGCTCAATTCAAACACCTGGCAGTTACTAGCCAACTGAAGCATGAGATGACACATCACCTAAAGTCAGTCAGTAGCAAGATCAAAACCAAAACCACATCTAATAACTGCTGACTGGAACAGAAATCATAGCACAGGGAAGGACTGAATGACTGCATTTTAAATTTGGAAAAAAAATCAGTTTTATCGATGTACCCACGCTTCTGCTGCTGTGTGTGCTATGTACGTAACGGTCATGACAAGCCAGCACAGTTCCCCTCTGACCCTCACATCAAAGCAGAGGCACACCTGAATACTTCCAATTCCTTTAGGTGCTCATGCTGGGCCTTCAGTGTGGTTTCTAGCTCCAGCTGTATCCGTGAAAGTTCATTTTTTAATCCTGAAACCACCATTCTTTCTGAACTGAGCTGTTCCTGCAGCTCAGCCATTCTGTCTGTCATGCCATCGTGCTGACCTTGCACCTCCAGCCTGCAAGACTGTTGCATTTTGCAGTCGAGGAGTTCTACAGGAAATGAGAAAGGGGTTAGAAGATGGCCTGGCAACTCATGTGTGATTGCTAAATATTTTGCACCTAAGAACTCATCCACAATGTAGGAGAATACTACAAAGAAACCATCAAATGCTCTCAGTCTTTCAAACTGTTAATTTCTAGGAAGTTTCTTTTTCCTAGAGTGCTATGAAGGAAGCCTTCAGAAGTAAAAACACAGGGGAATGACAAAGGTGTAACAATGCATTAATAGATGCAACTTTAATGCTCATAAGATGCTATAGACAAGAACTTATATATTTTTATATTCAGAACACCAGCCATTCATAGTGAAAATTCCAAGTGATTTCTGATAGTCATACACAATATTTACAGGACTTACTCAATGGGACCCTTACTATAATCATCCAACTATTACTGTTATTTTTTCTTTCCTTTTAGATAAGATCTCACACTGTCGCCCCACTCAGACTGGTGGGAAACTCTGCAAACCTCTTACTTCATTCAGTGTCCCAAATCCTGGGACCACAGGCTTGAGTCACCACACCCAGCTCTGATTCAGCTTTTCAATTACAAATGAGATCCTACATGGTGACTTCAAACCTGTGCTGTCTTTAAAACTATATGAAACACAATGAGTAAAGATGTAGCAAGAGCCCGCACCAGACATGATGAACACTCCTCTCTAACAAGCTTGATTCAAGCATGTCCTAATAAGAAGTGGGAAAGTAACCCTTAAGCACACACAGAAGTACAATCCAACTGGTCTATAATCACCACAATACTTGTGCACAGCACACCCAGCAGACTGGCAACTTGTCTGACAATACCAGCTGTTAGGAAAGATGTTAAGCAACAGAATACTCACACCTTGTTAGTGAGGGCCACACCAACAGGACTGTTTTTCCCTATCACCCCAGGAATTGGGAGAGGAGGGACAAGAGGACCAGGAACTCAAGGTCACCCTTGACTGCACAAAGCTTCAGGCTAGCCTGGGAGACATGACAATCTCTCAATAAAGAAGTAAAACATTGGGCATCATCTAAAAAATTAAAGATACACATCCTATGACCTAATGATTCACTTCCTAGGAGGCTGGGAAGATGTTCATGTGTATTAGACATCTCAGAGGAGTGTTGGTAGCAGCTCTGACCCCAACAGCTACCACCAGAAGCTACCAAAGGTTCAGACACAGAATTTGCACATACAGTTAGAGATAACTCTCCATAGCAACAGCTGTAGAAACTTGGAAGAATATCATATAAAGGTAAAGAAATGAGACACCTAAGAGCGATATGCATGGTACCCCAGAGAAGAGAAATGAGGCAAGATCTCCTGAACAGATTGAGAACATGGGGGGGGGGAGTGGGAGCTGGGAAGAAGAGAGGGGGAGAAGAGGAGGAGAGAGTAGGTCATGGGGGAACAGGAAGGTTGAGTGGGGGGTAGAATAGGGGGAGAACAGGATGAGAGATACCATAATAGAGGGAGTCATAGGTTTGAAGCGAGATCTGGCACCAGTGAGACCTCTAGTGATCTAAAAGGATGACACCAACTGGCAAGCTAAGCAATAGTGAAGAGACCACCCTAAATGCCCGTTCCTGATAATGAACTTGACGATTACATTATATGCCATCCTAGAACCTTTATCCAGTGACTGATGGAAGCAGAGGCAAACACCCACAGTTAAACAATGAACTGAACCCAAGGAACCCAGTGTGAGAAGAGAGGAACAATGAGCAAATGGGCAAAGAATGGGCTGGCGAAACCAGCAAAGACAGCTGATCTGAACAAGGGGGAGCTCTTGGGCCCCAGACCGAAAGCTGGGAGGCCAGCATGGGACTGATATAGACCCCTTAGAGTGAGAGTCAGTGAGGAGGCCTGGGCAGCCTATGGGGCCCTGGGAGGTGGATCAGTATTTATCCCTGGCATACAAATGGACTTCGTGTGTCCATAACGCAAAGAGGGATGATCTCTCAGCCTGGACTTTTAGGGGAGTGCTTGGACCCTGCCCTGAGCGAAATGACAGACTCTGGATATCTCCAACAGCTACCACCAGAAGCTACCAAAGGTTCAGTGGGGATAGGGTGGGAGGCTGGGGGGAATGGTGGGGAGTGCAGGAGGAGGGGAGGGAGAGGGAACTAGGATTGACATTTGAAGCAAGCTATTTAAAACTAAAGTAAAAAAGAAGAAGAAAAATTGAGACACAAAAATATACACAGATTGATAAAAGTTCAAAGCCAGAAAAACTTTATAAACATATACAGTCTAAGAATTCATAAAGTGGTAGGAAAACCAAAGATGAAAAGAAATGATTCCCTTAGTTTCTAAGGAGGAGAATATGGCAAGCTTTTGGGATAAGGGCAAGTTCCACTTGACAGGTAAGTAATGTCCCCACATATCCATATAATAATTTGTTATGGTCTGCATGTGAATTTTGTAATTTTCTGTATGGAAACTACACATTACAAATAATTAAAAGTAAACAGCTATTTTTATTGTGGATTCCCCTTTATTTACGTAGACATCTTGAGAGGATCAAAAGACTTTTCTCAAAAAAATGCTTTACAATGAAGAAAAACCCAAAGAGTTTAACCCTATCAACATACTGCCTAGTTCTTTCACTACTAACCCTGACAGGAATGACATCGATTATCCCCTTTGTGCAATGCGATAATTTGCCTGAATAAAACAAACTGAATGCTTCAGGTGGATGTGGAACCACTCCAGTGGGCGCACATACCTTGGCTTGCAGTGTCAGTTTCTTGTTCTCTGTTCACAGTCACTTCCCTGCCACTGATTTGAGCATGTAATAATTGGTTTTCGGCTAACAAACTCCTTCTGTCTGCTTTCTGGAGACATTCCATAGCTGCTTGATACTCAATGCTCTGTAACAAAGGAAAAATGAAAAACTAAGCAAAGAGAGGTGTAGAGATAATGGAAGTGAAAACCGGGAAGTCCGAATGACAAAGAATGGAGCCCACATGCCAAATTTTTGTCATTAATATTTTTCACAATTTTTGGTCCAGAAAAAATTGTGAGGGTCTGTTGCAGACAGATGGACCTTAATTTCTATACATTGCTGTGAATTTCCTAGAAAGCAGAACAATCTTGTTTTGATTATTTATTTACTTACTCATTGGTTGTGTCTGTGTACATGCTTCTGCTCCACAGTGAGCATGTGAGAACAGAGGACAATCTGTGGGGATTGGTTTTCTCCTCCCACCATGTGGGTTTCAGGGTCAGACTGAGGTTGCTGGGCTGGTCAGTCAATGTCCTTACCTGCTGAGATATCTCTCTGGGCCAAAGCATTCTACACAGCACAATAATCTTGGCAAGTGTGATGAACATTACTATGCTATCTAACATGGGGTCCTTACAAAAGTTTTCATCAAATGTCCTTTCCAGGAAAATGAAAAATGGTACTAGTAAGTCTTTGGCAACCTTGAAACATCTGCAGAGTACAGGCTAATTTGTCCTGTGTTCTTTAATCAAAACAAAACAAAACAAATCCCCCCAAACAAACAATCTTATCTGTACTAGTTTAAACCAATGCTCTTGGTTTAAACCTCAGCTAGCTTTCTCCAATGATAACATCTGACACAACTGGAAACAGCATACTACAGATAGCAGGGTTATGCATTGAGAGCTCAGTTGACAAACTGCGAAGCTTACCCACGGGGATCACACATTCTGATGGAGGAGCCCAGATGCAGGGCAGTGGGAGTATTTGCTTTCTGGATAGTCACTGTCCTTACTGTTAATTCTCTGTGAAGCTTTCTATGGTGGGATTCACTACAAAAGCTCCAGCAGTGTATTAATCACTTACTGGGCACGTTGTCCCCTAAGCACTGGTATACTGGATGACTCCCTCAACAATGCATGATTCTGGCAAGAAAGTAATCACAATCAATAACCTTGGTCTCTCAACCAGGTCATAGTATAAACTTAGAAGTCTGCCCTCCTACAGTTTTCTTCCTTGGCAGACAGCCGGTCAATGTTAGTGTCCAGGCAAAGCAACCTCTATTAATATTCACAGATGCCCAAGGATAAGAATCATAGGATGGGGCTGGAGAAATAGCTCAGTGGTTAAGAGCATGGGCTTCTCTTTCAGAAGACTCAGGTTCCATTCCTAGCACCCACATGGCAGCTCCCAGCTGTCTATAACTCCTATTCCAGGGGATCTGATACCCTCACACAGACATACATGCAGGGGAAGCATCAACGTAAACAAAATACAAATAAATATTTAAAAAAGAATCATAGTATGTCTAAAGTTGTTGAGTAATAGCTCTCAGAGAGACAGAGAACAAGAGTATTCTGGATTCTCTCTGCCTGCAGATAGGAAAGTGCTATCCCAAGCTAACCTCACATTAACCTTAAAGCATGCCTGTTTTTCACCTGCCAGTTTCCTAAAGTTGTTATTGGGCATTATGCCCTCCCTGTCTGGTCACAGTTTTGCTCCTATGGCCTTGGGGTCTTATGTTGCCATGGCAATGGCTCTGCCTTTATTGTTTAGCCTAGGAATGTCTTCCTGACCAATGAAAAGCTGACTCTGTAATTCTTATCCTTTGTTTCAAGCCTTTGGAGAAAGAGAAATTTACTAGAGGAGAGAGATAGCACCTGGATAGAGAAGTTGGCAGAAATTTAAGGGGTAAGAATGTAGGAAAAGTATGTAGAAAAATAAAGAAGAAAGAAAAAAGCATTAGAATTGGAATTTGAGCTAAGAAATTACAGAGAATTCAGACAAAAGAATTAGAATAGAGAATAGTAAAGAAAGAACAATATACAGAATGAATGTGTCGTGAGAAGATTCTTTTTCTATAGCCCTCAGACTTAGATCCTACACTTACTGTGGTACCTCTTTTTGAACTGAGTGAAAGCTTTTGAATCAAAGGGCCTTGAAAATTTTTGATTACAGCAACTGTTACAACAAGGGCCATGAAAGTGTTATTAAATGCCATTAGTTTTATATCCATGTTGTTTTCTTGGTATCCAGCACTATGGAACCGCATCAATTGGAGAGATCCATTTCATGTGCCACAGTCAGGGTACTGAAGTCATTCAGCAAAGACTCTTCTTGATGTCACAGCTTCTCCCCAGCCTCAAATCCTGGCAAGAACGCATCCTTTTTTTTTTTTAAGATTTATTTATATATTATGTATACACTGTTTTGGCATGTCTACCTACATGCCAGAGGAGGGTACCAGATCTTGTTAGCCACTATGTGGTTGCTGGGAATTGAACTCAGGACCTCTGGAAGAGCAGACAGTGCTCTTAACCTAAGAGCCATCTCTCCAGTCCAACTCATCTCTTCCTTATCAGTATAAATTGTATCATTTTAAGAGGTTTTTTAAATATTTCATTCTTTTTTTAAATTATTTTTAAAATTTAATATAAATTAGAAACAAATTTGCTTCACATGTCAATCCTAGCTCCCCCCACCTCCTTTTACCCTCCCCCAATCCTTACTCTACTCTCCAAGGAGGTTGAGGCCCTTCTTGGGGGATCCCGAAAGTCTGTCATATGATCTGGGGCAGGGCCCATGTGTCTAGGCAGAGACAGTATTCCTCCATGTGGAATGGGCTCCCAAAGTCCATATGGATGATAGGGCTAAATGGTGATTTATTGCCTGAGGCCCCAAAGGATGCTAAGGCCTCCTCACTGACACCCATGTTCAGGAGGTCTGGATCAGTCACATGCTGGCCTCTCAGCCATCAGTCTGGGGTCCATCAGATCCCCCTTGTTCAGGTCAGCTGATTCTGTGGGTTTCACCCACCAAGTGTTAGCTCCTTTGCTCATCACTCCTCCCTCTCTGCAACTGGGTTCCAGGGGTTCAGTTCAGTGTTTACCTGTGGGTATCTGCTTCTGCTTCCTTCAGCCACTGGATGAAGGCTCTAGGATGGCACACAATCACGTTATAGGGAAGGGCATTTAAGGTAGCCTCTCCACTATTGCTTAGATTGCCAGTTGGTATCATCCTTGTAGGCCTCTGAGAATCTCACTAGAACCAGATCTTTCTTCAAACTTATAATGGCTCCCTCTATTATGGTATCTCTCATCCTTCTCTCCTCTATTCTTCCCCCAACTCAACTTTCCTGCTTCCCCATGTCCTCCTCTTTCCTCCTCTTCACCCCCTCTCTTTCTCCAAGCTTCCTCAACAGCCCCCCATACTCCCAATCCCCTCAGAAGATTCTGTCCTGTTCCCCTTCTCTCTTAGGGTCCTCCCTGTTTCCCAGACTTTCTGGCTGGGGATTGTAGTCTAGAGTTTATAAGGCATACAGAATACTGAGGATACCAATAGCTTGTTTCTTTTAAGCTACTGAGCCGTTTTTCTCTTCTCTATTTTTAGAAATTATCTTTTACTTTATGTATACGCATGTGGTTGTGTGAGCTTATATGTGCCCACAAGCATGTAGGATCAGAGCCAGAGGGGCACTGGATCCTTGGAGCTGGTGTCACATACAGCTGTGAGCTGCCATGCTGGGAAGGGAACCAGGTCCTCTGAAGAACAGCATTACTCTTAACTCTTAACCCCTGAACTATCTCTCCAGCCCCTACTGGGTTACAACTCACTGTAGGGATGTACCACAGCTGGTCCATTTCCCATTGGAGGACAAAAGGTTGTTGCTAGTTTGGGGAAAATTACAAATAAAGCTGTTGTGAATACTTATGTAGAAAGTGATTTCTCCATCCCTTTATGGGTTCTGCTTTCCTGTATGTGCTACATGAGTGGCTGGTAAGAGCGGAGGTGGGAAGAGGGCACTGGAACTCCCAGAACTAGAATTATGAATGACTGTCGCGTGGGTGCTGGGAACTGAACCAGGGTCCTCTGCAAGAGCAACAGGGACCCTTAACTGCTGAGTCATCTCTCCAGTCTACACCCAGGTTCTTAACAAGATTTCGGTTTTCATTTCTGTCCGATGTATGGTGTGAGTGACTGCTAGACTGTATGATAAAATCATGTGCAAATTCATAAGCTGCCAGAATTGCTGTGTTATGACACTTTTCCCATCCTGTTGCCTGATGCTGCTTTTCTGCATGTCCATCAGTACTCAGTCTTTGCTTTTCTGTCTGTTCATACATTTAACAAGAGCATAAGTCTGTCTTACCCACCAGGAGTTAGCTGACATCACTGCTTAGACTGACTGCTTGAGCTGGGAGGTGTGTGTGAGGTGTCTCCATTTTGCATTAGAAGGTATCTTCTGGAGACTCATTTCACAATTATGTAAATATTATCAAACAATCCGCCACTGATTATTACTTAACAAAAATAACGTTTAGTAAAGAAGTCCTTAATTAAATTGTTCCTTCTAGAACACTGTGACATTTTATCTATTTATGAATATGACCTGATGAATTCTTTTTTCTATTCTGCTTCATAATCTAACACTATCATTTAGTTTTTTCTATCTTTATTTTCTTGGTGGGGAGTGTATGTGTATAGGTTTCCCCAGGAAAAGTTTTGTCAAACAATACTGAGCTAATAGCCTTGAACTCAGAGATCTGTCTGCCTCTGCCTCCTGAGTGTTGGAATTAGAGGTGTGTGCTATCTCATTTAGATAGCTTGATATTTAAATGTTCTAAATGTGACCAGTGAGTAAGCCTCCAGGTCTGCTTCTGTGAGCTTTTTAACACGTTCTCTTAATTCTATAAACATTTCTTTACTGAAAAGCAGGAGATTCTAGGTTTTGCTTTGTGCCTCCCATGTTCAAGCCCTAGAAACTCCAGGTCTCCAAGGAACTAAAATACCTTTGGAGGGAGAATGTATTTAAAAGTCAAGACTTGGGCACACTAATGCTATGAGACTTTTAATTACTAGTTTTGGTTACTAGCAGAGGTTTTTTCAAGCTTTCAATTTCTTGTTCCTGATTTTTTTTAAAATTCCAAACACTGGGGAAGAGGACTCTATTTATGCTAGGCATGAAGTCTATCATTTAGCTACATCCCAGTCTTTACAAAACTTAGGTTAAGAGAAAAGTTCTACTAAGAACTTGCAATTCTCTTACATCAAGATCACAGCTATGTCACAGTGGCCAATGAACTTGAAGGATTTTTTTTTCCTTCTTTTTTGAGACGGGATTTCTCTGTGTAGGTCCGGCTTTTCTGGAACTTGTTCTGTAGACAAGGCTGTCCTTAAACTTGGAGATCCACTTAACTTTGCCTTCTGAGTGCTGCGATTAAAAGCATGTGACACCACTGCCTAGCCCTCTTGAATGAATTTGATAGCTTTTGTAAAAATGAAAAATAATTAATTCTGTGGCTTTAAAATTGAGCAAAAGAGACTTACGGTATTTGATTATTATTAAAAAATTGGGGGGGCGTGTGGTATATGTATGTGCTTGGGTAACACTCACCCATACCTAAGTTACACTGTTACAGGCTATGTTCAACAGTAACAGAACAGTAATAGACAATAAGGTAACCTTAAATATGACTGATGTTTTGGTTTGAATGTGAAATGTTTCCCACAAGTTCATGTGTTGAACACTTGGAACATGTGGTTCCCTAACAGAGAAGATCTTATCTTGGAAAGCTCTGGAAACCTTAGGAGTGGGGAACCTCAGTGAGGAACTGTAGGTTATATTCAGTCCTTAGCCCCTTCCTCTTTCTCTCTTGTCTGCCATGAGATGAGCAGCCTCTGCCACTTGCTCCTGGTACCATGACATTTTGCCTGTGTATGGAGACAAGGACTATGGACAGAATTCTCTGAATCTGGCTCTAATCCCTTCCTTGTGTAAACTGTTTGCATTATACTCTGTCCAGAGATGGCAAGCCTGATGAATACACACATAGAAAACAAGATCATACCTTAACTGGCCAATGAAGCTGTGACCAGAGGTTACAGGAAATTAGACCCAATTTTCTCTAGCGCCAGAGCACGGCAACTTTATCCTTCTATTTTCTTTGGATTTGTTCTGTACCTCAATTTTTAACTTCTTAAGTTTGGTGATTAGCTCATTAATGTTCAGTGTTTCTTACTTTTTAACATAAGGTAAAATATCTAAAGTAATAGTTTTCTCTATACATTCTTAGTGGTTTCCATTAAATGTCAGCCTTCACGACTCCAAAACAAATGAATACCCCAAAATTTTCTTACTATTCAAAAATACTCTTGAAAATAGTTTTGTTTTAATACCTGTTCTTGTACTCTCTGTTGCAAACATTTCAGCAATCCATCAGTGTCTCTAGTTCCAAGAGACATCAGTTCTGTTCGGAAGGCAGCTAGTAATACACTCCGTTCCTTTAAGAGTACATCCTGAAGGGCAAGCAAAAGTTCACCTCGCCAATCTGGGAGGCTCTCCAGTGACAGAGACTGGCCACAGACCTGCACAGCACAAAATGTGAAAAGTCAGTTTTCCAATAAGCATGCTTGAAATATATTCCAAAAATACTAGTCTGCTAACCAAAATATATTTTTTTAAAAATTCAAAGAGCATGTTTTTGAGTGTGAAAAAGAGATGAAGTAACACATGAAACACATATAAAAATCTGTACGATTTATTATTGTCAGTAAACACATGTAAAACTATCTAGAAGCAGCCGGGCGGTGGTGGCACACGCCTTTAACCCCAGCACTCTGGAGACAGAGGCAGGCGGATCTCTGTGAGTTCAAGGCCTGGCTGGTCTGACAGCCTCCAAAACAATACAGAGAAACCCTGTCTCGTAAAAACCAAAAAAAAAAAAAAAAAAAAAACCTCTCTAGAAGCAAAATACTCTTTGAATACCTCAGTCTGTCTTTGCACTTGCATTTTGGAAATTAAATTTTTAAGAGATAAGATAGTAGAGATGAAAGTTCTTCTCTCTTCTAGCCAATATTCTGAAACCTTCTGTTCAGGCTGGTCCTCTCCATCATCCTCAGGGGAGTCAGCAAGAGAAAGCATCTGCATGCCCTCAGTATGGACTGCTCTCAATAATCCCTAGAAAATAAAAGTAGTGAAGACAAAATTATGACTTCAAAGACTGAAAAACAAGACACGCAGAGTCAAACAAGCAGATTCAGCAACCTCCAATGATTTACAAAGACCACTGCAGTCAAGAAATGGGATCCCAACATTCCACTTGGCTGCTTGCTGTGGAGTGGTGAGTAAAAACTGTCTTTTATAGCTAGCACTTCTAAGGTCCTTATTCTATTTGGCTAAAATACTCATTCCAGACTTACTGATTAGTCACTGATTTGACCAAAAGAAAGAATGTGGGAAATAACTTGAGACTAATTTCATGATCTAGGCAAACAAAAACATGGAGAATAAAGTTGGGTTTGAAAACTCTTCATACATATGACTTTATTGTGACACAGCTGCATAAGAGAAAGTAACTAAGAATGAGCCCAACCCCCCTTACAAAGAAGCATCCTCTCAACCTACTGAACAGCACATCAAGTGTGGTAAGGAGAGGAACAAGGGACTTTGTCTTACATTTTTTATAAGGGAAGAAGTTGGTTATCTGACTTCATGGACCCAGCAGAGCAAGCAAACCCACAAATAAATGCATTGTCCTAAGCTGACAGGCTATTTTTTCAGGTCATTCACTGCTTTTTAACATTATTGCTCCCACCAGGGATTGCAGACTTCGTGACCATACCTAACACATACACATACCAAGTCAGTGTCATAGAGGGGTTGCCAGGGAGAAACAGGGAACAGTCTAAGAGTAAACCTTCATGTGCAGCTTATCTTGTAAAACTGATTACATGGGAAGTGTAAGGTATAGTAATATCAATTACATTGTTGTTCTTAAAGGTAAGTCAAACAAGTTGAGTGCACAGCACATAGCTTTAAATGATCTCAAAGCATCTAAATGACTTGGTCACATGGTGAGGAAAAATCTGACTGAAAGCATGCTACAAGACACATTCCAGAAAAATCAATTCTGCAACATTCTACTGTAACATCTATGAAACTTAAATAATGTGAAAAACATTGCCAGGGATACGTTTAACTATGCAATTCTTTCTTCGAAGAGAACCTTTCTATGTAACTTCAAACTGACTACCCTGTTCAGTGCAGGGATGGCATGGGCCAAACTAGTTGAGGGTTGTCACCAGTACCTTGACTGCCCTTGGGACTGCACCAGCTGAACCTTCACCGTCTTCCCCACCTTCTGATGCTGTGTCAAACCCGTGGCCCCAATCAGACTCAGAGTCTAAAATTAAGAAAACAACCATCTGTAATTACACATGTGCATGAACTTTAAAAAAAATACTATTGCATTTGTTTGAATATTCCAGAATTATGCAACGTACCACTTGAACGTATTTCTCTGGTTTGGTGAGCATTAGAATACACCAATCCAGGAATGGAGGACACCTAAATAAGGAAGACATCAACAGAAAATGTAAGACTTTAAGACTGATTTAGGAAAAACCAGACCCAATGAATCATTCATCTATTTGTGATATAGTTAAGGGAGAAACAAAGACATCAATTTGTTCTATCATACAGTCACAAATCACAAATAACAAGTCTGCAATTTTCCTTCTCGTGGATGTTGTCATAGAAAGGAACCCTCATGAATTACGAAATCACAGTAGGCTCCAGAACCACACAGGAACTTCATCATCTAACTCACAACAAGATGCCAAAGTGTAACTATGCCATGAAAAATGTCTCACACACTCACAGTGTTGAGAGGAAAATGACAGGAGGTTGAAAAACATATTCTATGAAAACCAGGTATCTGTTAGATTTTAAACACTGGGTCATTTCTTTAAAGAATGACATTCTTTAGTCAGTAACCGGATTGCACATAATGTTCTCTCTCAAAAGTCTCAGCTTCTGAAATATGTCTGGATTCTATATCTGAAATTTCTGCAGCATGTATCTCCTGCATTTGTTCAATGTTTTCAGTAAACTGACTGACTCCTGGGGAACACTCAGCCCATGTCAAATGAGCTCCTGGGGGTCTAAAAGGAGCTGATTACTGCTGCTACCCTTGCTGTCTCCTCTCTCTGGGACCCAGAGCAGCCATCTACAGGATTGGCTCTGATGCGGCAAATTTTCCACTTTGCTTGTCTCCAGCCCAATTTTCTATTCTAACAAGTGTGATAAATTCTCTTTGGTATCTGTGAGCTGACCTGTAACTTTGTTTGAATCTCTTGAGAGTGATGTTATATGTTGTCCTTTTATCTAAAGCACAATGAACACAACAGTAAAGGAATCGGTAAAGTCTTGTGTGCATCAGATGCAGGACTAAGGATGAACACAGAGAGGACAGTTCATGCTTCAAGTCTCACTTGCATGGAAACAGGAAAATCACCCACATGAACTGAAGCCTCTCCTTCACGAACAGTGTATTCTCCTGAAGTCTCATTACATCTAAGTTTGACATGAACCAAACACCAGATTTATTATTAAATCATCAGTCAACTTAATGAACAAAGGTAAAGATTTACCTAAAATATTCAAATGAAAAAAAATTCACACTAAACACTAACCTCGGAGATATCAAAATCTTGAAGGCTTCTTTCTTTTTCTTCAACTTCCCGCCTTTTCTTAGTGCCCTCCTCTGAAGGCATCTGTAGCTCTAGCATTTTTTCTGTATCAGAAAACTTTTTCTCTGTAATTTCCACATGTTGTTTTTCTGATATAAAACTAGAATGCATTTCAGCTACTTGGTTCTTTAACTCTGTGGTTCTCACAGATAATGTGTAGACATCTGACTCTAAGTTGTCTCCTGTCAGAGGATTTACATTGGGCCCATCTGTCCTTTCAGGTTCTGATGCTCTCTTCTCTTGGAAGCTCTTCACATACTGCTGAAAGGCTTCCAGTTGTGCTTGACTAACGATGGCTGCAGCTACTTTCTCTTCAAGTAAACTCTGAAGAGTTTTGATCTTCTTTTGAAGCATTTCTGGTTCTGATTGGCCTTGCTCTTGCATGGTTTTTATTTGTTTATGACACTGCATTAGTTCTAAATCCTTCTTTCTTAGAGAACTCTCCAGTCCTAGTAACTTTATTTCTAGACTTCTGCAACCCTTGGTGTTTTCTTTAAGGCATCCGACAGAAGTCAGGGTCTTTAGAAGCTCAGAAGAGTCCTGGGCAGAGACATCTTCTGGCTGCAGTGCATCAGCCTGGAGCTCATCGGCAGCCATGGCAACACTTTCCATAGGTACAGAGTGCAGTTGCTCCTGGACCATGTGTCCTTTGTTCAGGATGCACAGTTCTTGTGCTAGCTGATCCATTTTACAACTGGCTTCTTTAGGAGTACGTTTTGTGCACGCCATTTCCTCATTGGCAGTTTCTGCTTTTTGTTCCGAAGTCTTCTCTTCAGCTCTCACCTTATCTAGTGTACACTGGAGGCTTTCTGTATCTGGGGGATGGAATGTGATTTCTGTTGTCTTCTGTTCAATGCTTGCCAACTCTTGCTGCCAATTTTCAGTTACTCCTTTGAGCTGCTCTATTTCTTCCTCTCCATTTTTCTTCACACATCCTTGCTCACACATCAAACACTGGATTTGGGCATCAAGATCCTTTATAAGTTCATCTTTTTCTTTAATGGCCTATTATTTAATGAAAAAGGGACACATAAACAATAAATACATATTTCATTTTAGAAATTTTATTTTAAGGCAGGACCTTACAGAGATGAGTATGTCCTAAACCAAAACACTATCTCTGACACAGGAATGCTCTTTTTAATATAAACCAACAAGACACCTCTTTTTATTTAGAACTTCATTCTGGAAGTTTTATGACGTGTGAAGTGACGTTGATTTCCCAGAAGCAAACAGTATCAGTACATTCTCTTGGAAAGAGAGAAGTACAAAACAGTGTGGACAGCGGGTGGCTGTCAAAGGGAAAATCTTGAACAGAGGAAATTTTAGTATATTTAGTTAGCAAGCACCTTCCCCAGCTGAGGCATATCACTGGCCATGGTATTTGTGTTTAAAATTCAATAGGGAAGGGCAGGGGAGATAGCTCAGGAGCTATGCATGCTTATTCTTTGAGCACCAGAACCCAAGTTCAAAGTCCCAGCATACACATGAAAAACTGAGCAGGGCTCTGTGAGTCTGTGACTCCTGCTCCAAGAAACAGAAGCAGGCAGATTCGGCGAGCTCACTGGTCAACTAGACTAACTGAGGCAATCAATAAGGTGAGCAGTGAGAAACCCTGTCTCAAGGCAATTTAGGCAGAGAGCGACAGAACATACCAAATGCCCTGCTCTGACCATCTATATGCAGGTATGGGTACACACATTTTTGCACTCAGGTGCAAGCACCTAGGGAACTTCAACAGGAACGGGAAAATTGTCATTATTTTGTGTTTTAAATTTTAGGCACAGCCTCTGAGATAGTTCAGTGGGTCAGGGTTTTCACTGTCAGGCCTGACAAGCTAAGCGCTATAGCTGTAGCTTGATGGAGAATGTCCTTCTGTATGATGTAAACATATGTTTCTCTTATTGGTTGATGAATAAATGCTGATTGGCCAGTAGCCATGCAGGCAGTATAGGTGCGGCTACAAGACAAGGAGATTCTGGGAGGAGGAATGAAGCAGGGAAGCAGTCGCCATGCAGCTACCAGGAAAATAGGACGCTGGGCATTCTCCTGTAAGCAAAGACTACATGGAGATTCTTAAATTAATAGAAACAAGTTAACAGTTAAGAGAGAGCTAGCCAATAAGTAGCCTGAGCCATTGGCCCAACAGTTTATAATTAACATCAGCCTCTGTGTATCCGTTTGGGACTAAACGGCTATAGGAGCAGGCAGAGCAGAAACCTCCATCATCAGTGGCTCACAGGATATAAGAAGAAATGACTCCCACAAGTTGTGCTCTGACCCACAAAATAAATAAATAAATAAGAAAAATAAGTAAAAAGGTAAAAGCAGTTACTCAATTCTGACAGATCTGAAGTGGGCACACCTGCTTGTCTGTTTCCCGTTGTTCCTGAAGCTTAACAAGCTGTTCATTTAACTGGTCAATTCTGCCATCCTTTCCTTGAATTAGCCTTGAAAATTCCCCAAACAACATGGGCTGATCATGACAAAACTGGGGATCATAGTCTTTCAGGAAAAACTCCAGTTTTTTTATTTCATCCTAGGGACAAAAATAACTATCACAATTATATGATCATTACATGGTATTTTCAGTATATTCCCTTAATAGAGTCTTATAAAAACATAGGGTACATATAATGACATAAAAATAAGATACTCTATTTCAATAATTCCAAAAATATTTTGATAAACCAATCTCAAATATTTTCATTTATGATGAATTCAAATGTCTAGTCTGAGCTAATAAGTCCATGCAAATTCATTAGCCTACTAATGTTGCTGCTAGCAGATGCTTACAAAAATATAAAGTATCAAAAATGTGAATTATTTTTATCAGCTAATTACCTTAAATAGTTTATTTTCTTGCTGGAGCTCTTGCAAGTGAGTGGTGGACCCCTTCTTCTGTATTTCCAACTGCATGTGGAGCTCCTGAACCTCTTCATTCTTATTTTCCAGTTCCTCACGAAACTGCTCTAACTGCTCTTCCAAGTTAGAAATCTTTACCGCCAAAGTTACCCAAGAGGGAAAGAAACAAAACGCAAAACCCAGATCAAACAAATGGAAAAAGCGTTGTATTTAATTTACAAGGATGTATGTTTAAGACATGTAAATGGTAATAAACGAAAATACTTTTCTAAACTGTGTTTACCTTCTTAATCCCTAAACATGCTCAAACTGTATTTTTGTTTTTGAGACAAGGTTTTTCTATGTAACCATGGCTGTCCTGGAACTATGGAGACCAGTTCAGACTCAAACTCAGAGAGATGTGCTTGCTTTTGCTTTTCTGAGTGTTGGGAATAAAGGTGTCTGCCACCATATCTGGACTCAGACTACAAAAAAGGTTTTTAAATTATTTTTGACTATGTATATATGGGTTTGACTGAGGATAATAACAACCATTTAACCAACTACCCTGTAACTACTTAACAGATGTTTAATGATGAATTTCCAAATGCCTATTAAAGTGATGATCAAAACTGCTATATTAAAAGCAGCTTAAGGTGCAGGAGCAGAGCCAAGGGGCACCTGGGGCATTTACTGCCTTACAATCTAGAAGAAGTAAATTCAGAGTGAAGTAAATGTTTGCTAGAACTAGAATCCCAGTACCAAGAAGACAAGGCTTTAAAGTCAGCCTGATCATTCCGATAAAAAATAGTACAATATTAGCAATAGTAGCCAAATCTGAGGCTGGGATGATGTCAGATGAGCACATATGTGGCTTGAGTTGACCCCCAGCACCGCATGTAAAAAGCCAAGTATGGTCTTACGAGCCTGCAATCATATATATGTATTTTCTGTAACACTGGTATTTAATTCTGTAGGCACTTAAATATATTTAGTGATTCTGCACATATAATTATCAGTTTGTTGCTGAGAACAGCGATGATCACGTTTACCAAAGCTATCCACTAATATGTGTGCCTGTTCTTATCTTCCACAATAATTCCTATCTTCTATGACTACTTTTAAAACAAGGTTTTAGAAAACACACGCACATAGTTATTAGAGTTCAAAGCTGCTGCCCACATCACATGACTTGCCCACTCTTGATGTGTCACTCTCTGACCTAAGCTTTGTCCCTCAGGGTGAGCTGGAGAGTACTGTATTAGCAGCCCATTCTTCAGCAGGTCCCTGGTGACCAGATGCATATCAGATTACAGAAGCACTGGCCTATAGCACCAATGTCACACTAGGGTTTTCATGCTCCCCACCAACATCCTGAATCCCTTCCTAATATTTGTCACACTGTATCACAAGGATGTTACAATCAGTGAGATCTGGGAGAATTTGGCTCTGTGCTAGGCATTAACTTCTCTTAAGACTCAGTTTACACATAGGTGGAATCAAGACCCCAGGAAAGAGTATTTAAAATACTCCTCTGTTCTTACTAGCACTAGGTTTAAAACAAAGTTAACTATTATTTAATATTACCGCCTTTAAGTGCATTAGCAATACAAAACATAAAATTTATTGAAGGTACCTTTTCTCAAAGAAAACTCACTATCTTTCTTTTTTCTTTTTTTTCTCCTCAAGACAGGGTCTCACTATATAGCCTTGATTGTCCTAGAACTCACTATATAAACCAGGCTGGCCGTGAATTTACAGAGATCCACCTGCTTCTGCCTCCAAAGTGGTGGGATTAAAAGCATGTACCACTACACCTAGCTAGAAAACCCATTCATTTAAATTTAAGTATAATTTTAAAAGATATTTTTGTCTAAATTTAGGCTCTGAGAGTAAAGTCATTTAAACTCTGATCCATAGAAACATCTTACATTTGTATCAGTTATCTGAAAATATTTGCCTAGTTTTCAGAGCAAATGTTTAACATTCTCTACTCATGTGCTTTGAGGCTTTCCTTTTGCAGGTCAATGAGTGGTACTGCCATACACCTGTCACTGTCAGTAAACACTGCCAGTTGCTACTCATTTGATGGCAGTGGCTCTCTGCACTTGTCTTTAGTAAAGAACAGAACGGTTAACATATGCTCTCTATGGTTTCTAGCAGTCCCAGATGAGTACTGATATGGGGAGAAAAGTAGACATCTATTAAATACTAAATTCAAGAAATTAAAGTAGGAGTAGAGGTACAGTATATTAAAAATTACTAAAAACAGATGGTATATGCCTGTAATAGAAACAGAATAAGGAAGGTCATCCCCTGAGCTGCAGAGTTTGGGCTCAGCATAGGCAACACAGTGAGGCACCATGTAGACAATAAAGACAGAGAGGCTTGGGAGAGGGCTTGGTTAGCCAGTGTTTGCTGTGACAGAGCAAGGGCTAGGGTTCAGACAATACCATTCACACAAAAGCCAAGTGGACATTTAGTTTTCTGTGGTGCCAGAAATCAAACCAATAGCTTGTGCACCCCGGACTAATCCTCCACCACTACGAAACTTCACTAGCCTTTCTAATTAATGAAAGATCAAGCTTTCCCCATCAGATCTTGCAATAAATAGGAGGACACATGAAAAAGGCATACTTTTTGTTTTCATGAAATACCAAAACCAAGACAAACAAGAACTTTCCAGATAAATATTTGTATTAGGCTCCAGTAAGAAAATACTTCTTGTCCTAGAAAGGATCCTTTCCACTAGTCATTTGCACAGATGCCATTTTCTCTCTGAGCTCTCTGAACATCACGTTAGCTAATGTCTAAATTAGTTCTGTATCCTTTAAAGCTTGTGTCGACACTGCTATATTATTGGAACACAGCAATTTGAAATATACTCAATGTCCTGAGAAATTACAGAGAAAAACCTATAATTTGAACACTTTTAGGGCTGCAGAAGGGCTCAGTTGGTAAAGCACTTGGTGACGAGCATGAGGTCTACTGAATCCAAGTAAAGAAGCCCATCTTGGTAGCACATGTTTGGGATCATGGGGAGGAAGAAATGGGGAGGCAGAAATGGAAGGATCTCTGAGACTCACTGATCAACAAGTCCAACCTAACTTGTGAGTTTCAGGCCAGAGAGATGCCCTGTCTCAAAAAAACAAGGGTGTGGCTGGGAGCTCTGGAGCTATGGCTCAGTGGTTAGGAGTCCATGCAGCTCTTATAAGGACCCTAGTTTGGTCCCTAGCTATCTTGCTAAGTCACTCATAATGTCATGCAACTCCAGTTCTGGTGGGTGGACACAGATTGACATGCACACATTCCCATAGAAACACAATTTAAAAAACAATAAAAATAAATCTTTGAAAATAAAACAATGTGGACAGATCCCAAGGAATGATTCCAGCAGTTGACCTCTGTTCTACAAAAAGGTGTATGAGAGTATATCCCCTAAAAACTTCAAAAGTTATTGTCTACATACTAAGATATATTCCAGAAGAAAAGGGTTTAAATATACTACACATGAAGTAGGAAGCTGAATTTGCTTTGGTAATAATAATGAATTTTCTCTTTAAGATAGGGCCTTGCTATGTTGCTCGGTCTGACTGAGAACTCCTGGCCCCTACTCTTCCACCTACCTCAGCCTCTTGAGCAACTGGGAGGTACCATCATTCCCTGCTGGATGTGATTCTCTTCAAGTAACCGGGTATAGAGAAACAGGAGGACTGTTATTCTTTCTATTGTTGCTATTGTTATTATTTGTGACATTGGGGAACCTTAGGTGCTTGCACAATCTGGGCAAGTGCTCTCTAGGAATGAGCTACATGCTCAGTTGCAGACACTTTACCTTCAGTCCATTGTTTTAATCCCATATTTTACTTATGAAATAGTGCGATAATTTCTCACGGAAGTATTTTAAATGATGATAATAAGAGCACTAACAATAACACGACAAGCTGATGAAGACACTCAGCAGAGTGGCGGTGACTTAGAGCCCACGTTACGGACAGCAGGAGAGAGGCATGAGCTTACCACGGTTCACACTACCAGCTCTCTTTTGTCCTCTCCACTCAGGCCACACCAGCTACACTGGGTCCTTTTTTCATCTAAATGTCTTCCTAATTCATGAACACTGTCTTTCATCAGCTTATCTTTCCAATTTATTATCTCCAAGGTTAGTCTTCAAGGCAGTGAACTAAGAAACACTGAACTTCGCTTTCAGACAATAATGCCATTGTGTTCAAATGTTGTTTTTAAGGTAACTGATATGAAATACTTCAAAAAAACATTTGTCATTTAAAAAGAAACTCCTTACCTCTTTTTCTTTTCGTTCTATAGCATCCCGCTCAGCCTGCAATTGAACTTCCAGAGAAATTTCAGATTTAGCCTCTATATCTCCAAAATGCTTCTGGTCATTTATCTAAAAAATACATAAGAAATTTCTCAAAACTGCAGACATTACAATGATTACTACCGCAATATTTTTATTTATTTAGGAGTAATTCTATTTCTTTATTTTAAAAGGAGGAAACTCTACATTGGAAACTATTCAAAAAGGTACAGGTATTCAGTCTTGAATGCATTTTTCATATAAAAAAACACAAATTGCTGACACATAAAACTAATCCCTCAGATAAATCAAAAGTCTTTTCTCATTGGCCTGTCTCCAGCTTTCTTGTTATACTTTTCTATTCATTCCAGTTTCCACTAGAATAACGGGAATGGACTTCACTACATTTTATTTTGGAGTCAGGCAAGAGCCTAAAATTTAGCTCATAGTCCTAAGTGACAGTTAAAATGATAATTAGCTCTTCTGGCTTAACTAATCTTCCTCAATCAGAAACAAGGGATACAAACAACATCTGGAAGGAAAATAAACAAAAATAGTTATAAAGACACACTAACCTAATGTCTACAAGGTAACGTATCTTTTACTTAAAAAGTACTAGTTTCTCAGCCTACAATCCTACTGCCAGAGAGTCTGGGAAACAGGAAGGACCCTAAGAGAGATATGCATGGTACCCCAGAGAAGAGGAATGAGGCAAGATCCTCTGAGCAGATTGGAAGCATGGGGGGGGGGGAGACAGGGGGAGAAGAGTAGGGGAGAGGAGAACATGGGGGGAGCAGGAAGGCTGAGTCAGGGGAAGAATAGAGGAGAGCAGGATGAGAGATACCACTGTAGGTTTGAGAAGAGACCTGGCACCAGTGAGATTTCCAGAGATCTACAAGGATGACACCAACTGGCAAACTAAGCAATAGTGAAGAGGCCACCTTAAATGCCCCTCCCTGATAATGAGTTTGACGACTACCTTATATACCATCCTAGAAACTCCATGCAGTGACAGATGGAAGCAGAGGCAGACACCCACAGTTAAACACTGAACTCAACTCCTGGAACCCAGTGACAGAGAAGGAGGAGTGATGAGCAAAGGGGTCAAGACTGGGCTGATGAAACCAGAGAAACAGCTGAGCTGAAACAAGGGGAAGATCTTGAACCCCAGACTGATGGCTGAGAGGCCAGCATGGGACTGATCCAGACCCCCTGAATGTGGGTGTCAGTGAGGAGGCCTAGGCAATCTATGGGGCTTGGGATAGTAGATCAGTATTTATCCCTGGCACATAAATAGACTTTGCATGCCCATCCCACAATGAGGGATGCTCTCTCAACCTGGACACTTGGGGGAGGGCCTAGGCTCTGCCCTGAACATAATGACGGACTCTGGAGATCCCACATGGAGGGCCTCACCCTCCCTGGGGAACGGAGTGGGGATTGAGTGGGGACCTGGGGGGACTGGAGGGGAGGGAGAGGGAGCTGGGACTGATGAGTGAAACAAGCTTGTTTCTAATGGAAATATAAAATAAAAAAGTTGAAGACAATAGCAAAGAGCTGGCTTGTGTAAGTAAGAGCGGCTGCCACTAGAAGACGACAGCACAGAGTTAGCAGCCCCCACACCTTTGCGAAGGCGTCAGAGTTGGCAGTCAGGGCTTGTTCCAGTTCCCGCACGTGGCACTCCAGCTTCTCTATCTCGTCGTCTCGTTCCTGCACATCTCTCTGCAGCTGCTCATTACACAGCAGCAGCTCACTGCATTTGTCTGTCTTCTCTTTAAGATGACCAGTTAACTGTTCGACCTGAAAACATGATGAGAAATGTTTTAAATGTAGGGTGCTTGTAATTGAGAATCACTTTATATCTTAAAAGCTGCTTTCTGGGGCTTGGAAAGTTATCTCAAGTAGTAGAGTGTTGCTCGCCTAATATATGCAAGTCCTCGAGGTTTGATCCTCTGTATTCCCCCCAGCCAATCCAAAACAAGGCATTTTCAAATATGATATCTTATATTAAAATAAGGATGGCAATGGCCATCTCTAGCAAAAGTAACAATTTTGCACACTGACAAAACTGGGCACACTATAGAAAGAGAAACACTCCTGCTTTCACAGTAAAAAATTATTACCTTAAGAGCATCCTAGCTTTATCCTGGCGGAAAGAAGGAAAATACATTCTGAATAAATAATGAGAATTATCTAAAGTCACAGCACACTACATCCTGGATGTAATAAAGATGACAGACTTGCAGCTCGCTTTTTGACTTGCTCTTAGCTGAAGAAAAACGTCCTTTAAGTTCTCCCTGTGTTACGTTTTGTAAGAGTTATTTGGCAAAGGTTAGGCTGTACACTCTATAGGCTAGAAGAGATGAGGAGAGGTATACGAAGGAGTCTGAATTCCTTTAAGTGCTCCTACTATGCCCAAAATAAACAGTAAGTTTTCTGAGATTTATCTTCTAGGGCTGATATACAGAACCTTACCTGTTGCATAACAGCAATGGAAGAATATAGGATTAATAAGACAGTTTATCGACATACTCATCAAGGAGAAAGTACTCAAAACTGTAATTCTAAGCAATAGAGGAATACTATGTTTCAGTGAGACATCTTGAAGAAATTATGAAAATAACAAATATTGTTCTCAGAACATGAAAAATGCAAACCTAATCTAACATCAGGGTCTTAGATGGTAGAATAAAGCTTCTGAGGAAATAATAGCAAGCAAAGGTAGACTAAGATTTGGAGGAAAGTCAGGAAGACAAAAAATACAGCAGGTACCAAGAAATGATGCAACACATTTACAGAGGGCTTCCTGATTGCAAGAAAACCAGGGGCTTAGGAAGGGGAATGAAGTGCTTGGTTCCTGAAGGAATGCACACTCTTGGCAGATGCCTCAAGTTCCATAATGACACAACTAATTTTATCAGGCTAAGGCGACTTATGTCACAGGAAATGACAATCTAGGTGTGTGGTTCTCAACCTGTGGGCTGCAATCACTTTGGTGGTTAAATGATCCTTTCACAGGGGTTGCATATTACATATTTACATTACAATTCACAATAGTAGCAAAATTACAGCTATGAAGTAGCAATGAAATAACTTTATGGTTGGGGGTCACCACAGCATGACAAACTGTATTAAAGGGTCACAGCATAAGGAAGGTTGACAACAACTGCACTAGTTTCTACAGCTTAAAACCTCTTTGGAGTTTTGACTTGTTCAAAAGCTAAAAACATATTTAGAGACATAAGGGGCAATGACTACAAACAGTGGATATTCCTTTTACAGTGCTCTAGAAGACATAGTATTTCATGTTTTATATTTCCTTAGAAATCTTGGGAAGTAAATGAAACCAAGTCAACCGCATGAAATTACAATTTTTAGAATTAAATTATTTCCGGAAATACTAACATCATAGTAAAATCTAAGTGTCTACTAAGGCCATGCCAATACTCGTATAAAATGTAAACTTTTCAGGAGGCTAAACAACTTGATCATTGTCACATATCCAGTACTCAATGAGCAATGATCCAAACAAGGCTTCATTTACTGTAAGTGCAATCTTGTTATTAACAGGACTAATGGAACAGAGGATAAAACTCAAGAGGTAATGGGTAATCTTCACAGCAACACTTTAAATGGAGCAGAGGGTAAAAACCCAAAGACAGAGGAGCAGTAGACCTCCCTGGAGCAGATTCAAAAGAGCATGGGAGAGTAAATAGTGAATGCAAATGGCCTTCTATTGTATTCAGTCATTCCTCTGTGTGTGTGTCTGTACATATGAGCACGTGTCACAGCACACAGTGAAATCAGAGAACCAGCGGCAGGAGTCGGGTTTCTACTTCCACTTCCCACGAACAGCTTATTTGCCTTGGCAGCAAGAACCTTTACCCACTGTCTTAGGGTTACTGTTGCTGTGATGAAATACCATGGCCAAAACCATGGTGGGCGGTGCATGGGGGGGGGTGGCTTCCACATCACAGTCCATCACTGAAGGAAGTCGGGACAGGAGCTCAAACAGTACAGGAACCTGGAGGCAGGAGCTGATGCAGAGGCCATGGAGGGGAGCTGCTTCCTGGCTTCCTTCCCATGGCTTATTAAGCCTGCTTTCTTATAGAACCCAGGACCACCGACCCAGGGATGGCACCACCCACAATGGGCTGGGCTTTCCTCTATCAATCATAAGAAAATGTCTTACTCCAGATCTTATGGAGTATTTTCTCAATTGGGGATCCCTCCTATTAAAATAACACTAGCTGGTGTCAAGTTGATACAAAATTAGCCAGTATAGCCACTGAATCACCTTGCTAGGCAGAAAATAATCTCAAATCACTTTTATCAGGAATGAGAATAGAGAAATGAACACGGAAGTTTACTTAATTGAGTAATACACAGAGGGGAGTAATTTCAAATTTCAAATCTCTTCTTCCACCCCACGCCAGGACTGGGGTTTGAACAAAGGGCTTCAAACATGGTAGATAAATACTCTGAGACATACTCTTAGCCCAACACAGTGCATGTTTATCATTAACAGGTGCCTTACATTTATATAATACCTTTTAAAAAATTTGTTGACAATGATATACAATATAAAGAATCCACTTTTAAGTTTTCCAAGATACCTTGTTTTAACCTCATACAAATAGGTGAAAGGGAGGGAATACCATTAGTGAGTTCTTACCTCTCTGGTTTGCTGCTCACTGACAGGCTGAAGTCGAGGTACAACCTTAAGTTGCTGCTCCAGCTTCTGTATTTCTAATTGGAAAGCATCTCTCTCATGCTCCCTATCAACTGCCTGCTCCTGAAATTTAATAATAATGATAACAACGATGACAATGATGCTGAAGTTGAGTAGGTAATGGTGGTACACCCCTTTAATCTTAGTGCCGGAGAGGCAAAGGCAGGCAAATTTTGCGAGTTTGAGATCAGTCTGATCTACATAGCAAGTTCTACACTAAGCAGTGCTTCATGGTGAGGCTATCTAAAAAATAAACAAGCAACATTGAATATTTATGTTATGACACTACTATTTATTTAAATAACATTTCTTGTCCCCATTATTTCTTATATCCCTTTAGCTAGAGGTTTAAAGATTATGGGCTGATATACGAATACCTAAAACCACAAAGGTTTAAGAAGAAAAAACATTTTGGGCAGTTACAGTAGATTGTCTAATATGGGCCCTTCAAAAACTTGAGTATTTAAAATCATTAACAGTACTACCCTTTTTATTCAAATAATGTCAAAAGCAGAATAAGAACAAGATGAAACTGTACAAAGGAGGAATCTACTGCTAACTCAGTGTTAGAACAGGCAAGAAATATGAATTAGTTTGTTTAATGCTATTCTAGACTTACACCTAAAAATACAAAACGTATTCATTCTACTTATTCTTTGACAAGCGATGATCACTGGCTGTTGCAGAATAGTACTTTTGTACACAGCGAAGATGTGCTGCTCTCATTGGCTTAACAAAGACAACAGCTAGGCAGGAAGAGGTGGAGCAGGACTTGAGACCAGAGGAGGGAGCTCTCTGGGACGAAGTAGAGCAGAGGGAGGAAAGGGACCGAGCAATGGGGTCGAGCACAGGTAACCACAGGGTTAACTGGTTTCAAACGGTACTAACAAGCCTAAGGAGGGCCGAGAATTTATAATTAACAAGTCTGTGTGTGACTACTTGGGACCTGGTTGTCAGGACAGAAGTATCAACCTACACTTAGCTTATGAAACCCTAAAGATACTCTGTGTGAAGAGTTCAAACCAATGACATTTTGGGCGATAGCTACAGCAGCACGACAGCTGTGCTAGTCCCAGGGCTGTGTGCCACACTGGGAGAGGAGCTGGTCTGCGGTGCAGGAAGCAGTTCTAACTCTCACCTGTTTTGGCTACTAATAAAAAGCAAAGTCAGAAAAAAAGCTTAACTTTGAATTTGGAAAACCGAGCTGCTCAGGGTTATTCACAAACAATGTGTGCTTTTAATCTGTCTTTTAAAATACTTATGCATTAAATACTTAATTGTTTTGTTACTAGGAATTCAACTCAAAGACTCCTGAATACAACGCAAGCATGGATGGTGTCACTGAGCTAGACCCTCAGACTTAGTGGCCATCCAGCCATCCACCCTAACCACCCAACTACCCACTTATCTACCCACCCCAGCTGTCTGTCTGTCTGCCCAAGTGTCCCTTCTGCCCTCCCAACCACCTGTTCACATCTATTCATCCAACCAAGATGTGGTTTCAAAGTGGGGCTCAGGTGAAGACACTTACGTCAATGAACCTTTTGAGTTTCTCCATTTGTTTTCCCAGTACTTGGTTTTGCTGCCTTAGATCTACGAGCTCGGCATTTCTCTCTTGCTCCATTTCTATTAACTTACTGGTTTTTACTTCCACATCTACTTCTAAAATTTTCAATTGCTTCTGAAGTTTGTTATGTACTTTTTCAGCTTGGCACTGAATTTCCAGCTTTTCCTTCATTAGTTTTTCTGTCTCCTGAAGAAATTCTGTTTACAAATGTGACAATAGAGTTGGTTAAATTATGATTCATAATCATACTACAATAAAGGTATGGACTACTATTTTTAACCTATATTTTCATGAAATAAAGGCTGAGAATTACTTTAAATATATTAAAAACTAAATACTTTCTTCTGGAAATACCTAACTATTTTACTCCTATAAAAGATAGCAAACTACTATTATATGGAATTAAGATAAATGAGAATTCCTATTACAAAAAGGTATGTTTGTGAGAACAATGTAGTAAACACAGAATAATACAGTTTTATGATTGGGAAAAGAACAAAGTTCAATACAATTAAAACATAAAACACTCACCACATTTTTTACCATAGGCAAAACTGTACACTCCAAAGCAAATACTCACCTGTATGTGCATACACAGTGAATACAGTAAGCAAATACTGTTAAAATATTAACCAAGAAAAGGGAACAGAAAGAGGAAGGAGATGACAGTCAGGGTTTCTGATTAGTCTTGTACTTTATCACGTTAGGTCCATATCCCTCAGGTCCCTCTTCATGTTTACAAGTTTGTGCAACAAGGGAACACAAGCACATATGGGGATCCATGTGGTTAGTGCATGAGAGCAGATTCATTTCCTATGTCTATTACTTTTCTCATGTGTGACATTTGATAAAATGGTCTTCAGTTTTGTTACCTGAGCAACTGGGGATGAAATGAACTAATGAGTGTAAAGATTAGAGTCTGGGGTATAGAAAGGACTTTGTGAATGTATTTATTGTTAATGTAGGTGATAAAGTATAGACAGCAAAAAGAAAAGGAGAAAAGAACCTTGTAGAATTTTTACATTAACTGATGTGACAATACAGTATTCAGATTTGGGATCTATAGAAAATATCTTTTCTAAAATAATGCCATTATTATATGTTAATATCACAGCAAATCAGTCACAAAGCCTCTTAGTAAATAAATTGATCCATTTGATACCATGAGCTTACCAACTTCTCTGTTTTGCAAGAACTACTCTGAAAAAAAAACAGAGACCAAAAGATAATGTATTCAAAAACAATAACAGTTTACTTCTTTTTGGATGTGAGCCTAGCCTTTAAAAGATAAGCCTTCCCTCCAGTGGGGGAAGGACAGAGAAGGAGAGCAAGGCAAGAGAAATTGATAGCAGGAGCTATTATCAGATGTTATGAAACCTAGCACTTGGGACTTTCCTAGGAATCTACAAGGATGACACCAATTAAGAAAACCTAAGCAACAGTGGAGAGGTAACCTTAACTGCCCTACCCCTGTAATCAGATTGATGACTACCTTAACTGGCATGATAGTGCCTTAATCCAGTAACTGATGGAAGCACATACAAAGATCCTCAGCTAAGTACTGGGCAGAACTCTTAGAGTCCAGGTGTAGAGAGGGAGGAACAATAATATGAGCTAAGGGGTCAAGACTTGTTGGTGAAACCCACAGAAACAGCTTTCCCAAGCAAGTAGGAGCTGACTCCAGACCGACAGCTGGGGAACCTGTATAAGACTGAACCAGGCTCCCTGAATGTGGGTGAAAGTTGGGGGGTTTGGCAGTCTATGGGGCCGCTGCCAGTGAAATCAGTAATTATCCCTAGTGCATGAACTGGCTTTTTTGGAGAATATTCAACTTGGAGGGATACACTGCTTGGCAGAGGTACAGGGGAGAGGGCGTTGGTCCTGTCTCAAACGATGTGACAGGCCCTCTCTGAGGAGAGATGGTGGTGGAAGCTACAGACTGGTAGGAGAGGGAACTGGGATTAGTCTGTAAAATGAAATTGTTTTAAAAAGAAGTAGAAGAAAATAATAATAATGAATTTTTAGAAAAGAAAAAAAATTTTTCCGTCATTAACATACTCAACAATTTTTTTGAAAAAACAAAATGGTTTTGGGCTCTCTGCAAAAACAGATGAAATAAGGTAATGGTAACTATGAACCTCAGGTGTTAATAGCAAATCAAAACATTTTTATTTTCAATTATGCCGTGTTCTGTTACAAGAAAATGAAAGGAACACAACCGACAACTATAAATTAGAAATGTTAGTTGAAAATCAAGGGTCACCCAAATTTTGAGTTGTGAGTCAACCACCCAACAACAGTGCATGCAACTGTGCACACACCTGCTCCAGGAGCTGCATCAACTGCAGCATCTGCTGGCCCTAGGAGAGGAAACAAAACTCATGTCTCCATGTCCCTGAAATACGATAATGCATGTCTGCACACATTAAAATGCTAATGTCACTGGTTGTCACTGCTACCCACAGTTCCACATCCCTTGCATATGTTGTATGTATAACATGAGACCTTTAAACCTTAGAGATTCCAGCCCTAAGCCTTTGTCAGACTAGTCAGAGCACCCCCCTCCAGGAAAAATTGGATATTTTATTTCTAAGTTGATCAAACTCGAGAAACTCCAAATTTATAGATCCTAATTGTGCATTTGCAATCAAAGGATCAATAAGCAGGATTTAAAGTCCATAGTTACAAAGACAGACATTTCCCGCTCAACAAGCTTTAAAATCAAGATGTAAAAATCAGCCATTATGAAGTTAAATGTTCTGTGAATGCTTCTAAAGGAGATGTCAGATGTCTTCTGCTCTCTCTGGATTGCAAGCCCACACTGCCCACACCTGCTCATGACCAGCATCAGATGAGGGTTCACAACACTCTCATGACCTCTCTCCCACTAAAAGATCTCTCTTTACCCATTTCCTAAACATGCAGCCTCAATAATGTCGCTTTTTTCTTTTTGATACAGAAGTTTGAGCATAAATAAATAATTCTGTTTTCCTGTTAACGGTTAATAGCCTTAAAAGATAAAATAGAAAATAGGATTTCATAAAAGTGGCTAATAACTCATTTGCCTTTAAAGTATACTTTCTTATGATTTTTCAAGTTTGTCTGTAAAACGTACAAATAACGGCACTTGAGAGGATAGTTTGTCACATGAGCATCTGAAGAGTAAAGACAGGAGAGGATCTATAAGACACAAAGTCTCAGTACATACGCTGCTCCACTGGGCCAGCCCCTGCTCTCATGGCCTCCTTCTGCCTGGACAGCAAAGCTCGCTCCTCCTGTATTTGCTGTTGCTCTTCCTCGAGTTCTTAAGTCTCCCGCTCATGCATAGCAACTCCTGCTCTAGATGATCTATCGTGCAGGCCTTTTCCTGAATTTCTCTTTCCAAAAGAATTTTTTCATCTGAATACCCATCAATAATACCTATAAGACACAATGTAGGGGAATGAAATTGCCTCCAATTTAAATTCACAATGAGGCTTTGTTTTTTGAGACAGGGTCTCACTAGCATCCCCTAAGCTAGCCTTCAACATTGTGATGCTCCTGCCTCAGCCTTCTAAGTGTTGAGATAACAGATGTGTACATCTAGGCCAAGCTTACCATCAGATGCTAATAGTAACAATAAAACCATCCTATTAGCAAAACTTTCCGTCACTTCATCCTATTAAAAGCCTGCTGCCGAGCTTTACTGTCATGTTGCAGGAAGTTTCCTTGCTTACTGTACATAAACATGAAATCTCCCAAAAATGTCTAGTAGTTTGCTATAATATAGAACACAACACACATATGTAATATAGTTTATTATACATATGGAAATAGACAGAATCCTAAAATACATCAAGTGTTGTGAATTCAGCATTTAAAATTTACTAGAGAAGGTTGATATTGTAAGCAATTCAAGAAGGTCAGCACCATCAACAGCCAGAGTGAATAGAAGAGGGTTTTAGAGGTTAAAGTCAACAATAACATTTAATTATGACCTTATACCACATAAACAACAGCTTTAGACTTAGTTTTCTCATTTTGAAGAAACTACCTCAGAGTCACCACCATCTACTTTTGAATCATCGAAATTTTTAAATGTTACCTCTAATTCTATATATTCTTTTCGTAATGTGCATGTGTGTTTGTGTGTGCATATTTAAATTTTTTATTTGCTTAGGGAAACTCAGAGGACAAATATAACTATTTTTCAGTGGTGACTTTAAGTTAGACTAGCGCTTTACAAACCCGGCTGTACATCAAAGTCTCTGTTTTAAGACTGAAACATCTCCTGTCTCAGGGAGCAAAGGCAAGGCACTTACTCTCAGCTTTATTGAGATCAACAGCTAGCTGCTCTCTGGTCCTGGACTCTTCTTGGAGACGCTCATTCAGTTCTTCTAGGCACCTAAGTGACTCTGTTGCCTCTTGTTTTTGTCTAAATGACTCATGTAGCAATTCTGTTTGTGTAACTTTTGCATGTTCAAGCTAAAGCAGGAAGGCAAGAGAACACACAAGAAGGTAACTGTTGCATGATCAGTGTCATTTTTCATAAACAAGCAAAAAAAACCTAAAAAAGGATCTGAAATAAAGACATCTTATTAAATTATAGACAAACACTTGGAGCACATGTTAACAGCAGGTAGGATAAGTCATACCAGATAAACATTGGCTGCATACCACTTTCTGTAAAAGATATAGGCCAGTTTTGTTAAGTTACAGAATGTGCTTCTTACTTTAAGCCAGTGAACACACAATCTACCATAAAATTGGGGGTACATGGCCAGTGAAGCAAAGCTAAAGACTTCCAGAAAACTATGTGTTCCTGGACAAATCTTCAACATTCTGCCTGTTAACTCCGTTAGTACTAACTGCACTTTGTGGTAGACTAAATACATGTCATCACAGAGAAAATCACGGGGGTGCCATAATGAAACTGTAACACAAATGCATATTAAATAAAAGCTTTGTACTTCTGAAAGAATTTGTAAAGAACTTTAAAGTTTCTGAAGGTATTCCACTTATTGAAAAACCATAGGCTATAGAAACATTACAAATCCAGTACCCTTCAAATGCTATCAGCACATATATTCGTGCATGGCAAGATGGCAAAACAGACTGGAGGCACAGATTTGAGGTAGGAGGGAAATGGCTCACTGCTACTGGTTCAGCTGTGTGGATTCAAAGAAGGCATTGACCCTGCTTGTGTCATCTGTGCCCCTAAAGGGACTTCCTTGTTACCTGTCTCAATCAGTATGTGTCTGAAGCTTCTAAAAGCAAGTAGCTGTATGTATCTGCGCCAGGGTCACAGCAAGTCTTGGGAATCTGTAAGTTTATATGTACTTTGTGCATCTCCAAGATATAACTACCAAGTTTTAAATTTAAAATGTAAGTAAAATAATGGCTTCTAGCTTAAACAGAAGTAATGTCTAACAAAACACATTAATATTAAGAAATAACTATACAATTCTAAATATAATATAAAATATAATGATAAACTACCAATATATTAATGTAATTAAACATATTTTATATAATCAAATATATATTGATATGATTAATATATATAATACTTAATATTCCTTCTGTACTTCACATCTGAGTACTATTTATAGTAAAATACAGACTGTAGTGACATTAAACCTACAATTACTCTAAATCAGTGGTTCTCAATCTTTCTAGTGCTGCTACCCTTTAGTACAGTTCCTTGTATTGCAGTGACCCCTAACTATAAAGTTATTGAACCACTGATCTAAATAAATGTTCAAAATATCCACATACAACTATTATTGTTTTAATAAGATGCTGAAAATATCACTTAAAACATTATTTCAATAAGAATTCATATGAAATGGGAAATATATCACCACAAAAGAATAAAGCTTATATATAAACACCTTTACTTGGGAAAAGGATTTATTCTTTTTAAATGTAAAATACACATATATGGAGACTGCAAAGAAACATGGCCAGGAAGTATGAAGTCATCTGTACACACATACCTTTTTAATTTAGTTGCAACAGTTTTTTCCAAAAGTACCAATCACTTTATGCACATGTAAATCTCTCCAGTAAATTACTTAATTGCTACCTACTAAATGTGTGAACTCTCTAAGAGTTCAGAGCCGTAACCAACACAAGTGCTCTTCTTTCCACATTTCAAATTTACAACAGAAATTCAACAAAGGATTTAAGACAAAATAAAATTCTGCAATGAGTCTGAATAAAGCCACAAAACAAATTAGGAGAGCACACTGGGTTCACACTTCACTGGAATACAGGATGGTCTTCAAATTTTTACCTAAATAATTTATACTTGAATTTTTCCCACCCAAGTAGGGCATGACTGATTCCTACTCTGTGCAACAACATACAATCTATATAAAATTAAAATAAAATTCAGAGCTTTTACTTTTCAGTGAACACATTACACTGGGAGTAAAACATTAGCAAATATTCTGTCACTTTAAAAATTGTCAGTAAGGTAGCAAAACTATTCTGAAAATCATCTGGCATGTTAAATGTTAGCTAAGATTTATAGCTAAAGCCATGTAAGTCATAAAAAAGTGCTGAACAGCGTGTAAAAATGTTCACAGACATTTAAAGATCCTATCAACCAGAAATCTTGAACATGCAGGCATTTTTACAGTGAGCATTTAACATTAGCCGTGTTTACAAGATATATTTCATGTAAAAGCTGAAAAGGCTATTTCTTCATAGAATTATTAAGAATTTATAGAATTAATAAGCTTAATGAAACAGAACCAAGTCTCTTGGATTGTTAAAAAAATTCAGAATACAAGCTATAGCCAATAAGGCATATGATTATAAACAAGTCCCAGCTGGCACAGAAAATCACTAGGCAGCCTTAGGCGGCATAATACCCAATTCTCTCAAATATATTAATTCCATTTTTTTCTGAAAGTATGGATCAGCCTTACAGACAGACAGCCAATCTTAAGGACAGGAAGAATCTCTTTAAAAAGCTTGACTGGTACTGAAGAAATTCATTATTTAGCTCATTGTACTACTGAAGTGTAAAGCAGGGAAGCTGGAGTTCACTGAACAAAAACTTAGCGCGTCTGCCCATCCCAGGTGTGTGAGAGATAACAAAGACGGCCAGACTTTCTGCTCATTACTACATTCCTAAAGCACTACTGCATACTTACTGAGTAAGGAGGGGTAGGCAGTGAAATTTTAGAAAGAAGCTTTAATATGTGTCCATCTCTCTTGTGAATAAAATGACAAATAGAAATGCTGATAGTTACTGAGTTGTTTTCATCCAAATGTTCAGGTGGAGGATAAGGATACGGCAAAGGCACAAGAGACTCAACTTCATAAATGTCCCCCTCCTGTTCCTCCAGCCAAGAGCCACTGAGCTGCCCAGTGGCCAAACAGGTTCTGTACGAATCCATTCTAGACACAACTGCCTGGCTTCTTCTACTCCATCAGCTTATTTTATTTCATTTTTACTATATTACAAAGTTCCTAAGACATTCTATACTAGTATAAAATTTTGTTTTTAGCATTCAAAAGTAAACTAAATTCATATAAGTTGAATAACAAAAAGCTTATACAAAAGTTCAACTTAAACATAACAAAACACAGCCCCCCCAAAAGTCCATCAAATGAAAAACCAAAACAGAAGCAAAAAAAACCCAATAATAAATGCAACAAAAATAGTTCCAGCGAAAATAATTAAATCATTGACAAATGAAAGAATAAAATTATAAAGATCTAATTAGCCAAGCAATAGAACTGTGCTCAGTATCCAATGTATCTAAGGTAATAAGTAGACCTTCCAAGTAGATCTTGGCAGGCAAGGTCGGCTTGCAAATCTCCATGGCAGCACTTCTGAGAAATGGTGCTGAATTTCTCTTGCTGTTCAGGCCTCACAATTCACAAGGAAAATCTCCTCTGAACTGAGGTATTCAAATAAACACCAGGCTGAGCCAAAGGTCTCAGTCAGTGTCCCCTAATAAGAGGCTAGAGGCTGTGGTTAAAGTCTGTACCTATAGGCACATGGACAGGTGGAATGTAAGTACGCCCACACAAAAGCCTGCCTAACAGGATACAACTTCCACGTCAGAGCTTTGAAAAGGGTATTTAGACAAGTTTATAATGCTTTGGAGATAAGCTAGTGTTTTTCCATCCCAATAAAATGTTGCCTGAAGAATATAAAATAGAAAGTCTGATTGTGTTCACATTACTAATTCAAGTATATCAAAAAATTATTATTTCTGGAAAGCTGAATTAGAGCCTGGTTGGTATTTCCTTATAAACAACACATTTAAGAAGTCACTGACCTATGCATGTTTTGGTTACAACCCATTTTCAGTTTCTACAGTGCATGATAAAGAAATTTTTCTTTGTGACATTAAAGCCCAAGTTGTGATCAACAGCCAGTCTCTGGTAGCTCCAAAACCTGAAGTAATGATGAGTGAGACAGCCACTCAAAATAAAAAAGATAAATAACTTACATAAAAAATATTCCTGATAATTAGATTCTCAATGACAGTAGCTTTAAATAGCAGACACTCATTTTGGTACTTTTGTTTTCTATTCTGTAACTAAACATGCTAAACTCACAAAAATCTTTATCTCAATGGAAAAACCTATCCTAAAGCAAGCAGGTAATACCATGAAAATTGGTTTTATAGTCATTCTCATTACATAAGTCTGTGCTGGGGGGCAGGGGGCACGTTTATATGTAGAATCCCTAGGTGGAAGTCAAGAACCATCCTGAATTACTCTTCCATCCTATCTGCTGAGACTGGGTCTCTCCATCAAACCCAGAGCTTGCCAATGTGATTTGTCTTGATAGCCAGTGTGCTCTAGGGATACCCTATCTCTGTCTTCTGGGACTGGAGTTACAGACGAGCCACCAGACCACCACCACCACACCACCCCACTGCCCTCGTATGTCTGTGAGTTCTAGTTCATCTCTGATCTTTACACTTGTGTGGCAGGTGCTTTAACGACTGAGCATCTCCTTGGACCTACATTTAATTTAGATTTAAAAATTTTTGAAACAAGAAGGATGACTTTGGGTGTACTCCTCCACTGCTCTCTGCCTTACTACTTTACTGAACTTGGCTAGGATGGTTATTCAGCAAACCCTAGTAATCCTCCTGTCTCCAGTCTCTCCCCAGCACTGGGATTATAGGAGAATGGGAACCACACCTGGCTGTTTACATAGTCACTAGAGATGCAAATTCAGGTTCTTGTGATTGGGCCTGAGAACACTCTTATTCACTGAGCATTTTCTCAGCCTCTCTATTGTGTCCAGAATAAACATTCTCCATTAAAATATTCTTTCCTTATTTTCGCTGCAACTAGCTACTTTTGATAATCTGGCATTCTGTTTCTCCTTTTTGAAGAAAGAATAAAACCATGTAGGTACAAACATATTCTTCATACATTGAAATCAGGAATTAAGCACACAGGCAAGAGACAAAAAGATACATAATAGATTAGGATGACTAAAC